CACACACATAGTGGAGGGATGAGTCTAGATATAATGTGTGCTTTTTTCTCATGGGAATCCTGAAGTGGCACCGTCAGATAGGTACTTGACTGCAAGGTCAGTTTGAACCACAAGGTTGACAGTTCAAACTCACCAACCACCCCTCAGAAACGTTATACAGGGTTGTTATGAGTCAGAACTGACACAAAAGCACTTAACAACAACAACAACAACAACAACATTTTCTCACAAGGCTATTCTTTTAAAGAAGTCCCTGGGCAAAACAAATGGTTAACCAAAGGTTGAAGGTTCGAATCCACTAGGGATTCCTCAGAAGAACCTCCTGGAGATCTCCTTCTGAAAACTGGCCACTGGAATTTCCATGAAGCACAGTTCTACTCTGATACACCTGGGCTTACAGTGAACTCAATGGCGACGGGTTATTCTTTGAACCAAGGAACTGTGCCTGTGGCGGCTGAGTGGTACAAAGAAGGAATCTAAAGTTGTCGCCCATTATGTTTAAGAGAGAATATTGTGGATATATATATAATCTTCCACAAAGAGTACGGATGAAGTGATCTATTGACATGCTCGTGTGGATATACTCTTCTACAAAGATGAAATGATAATGTAGATATATATTCTTCCACAAAGAGCAAGGATGAAATGATCTATTGACATGCTAGTGTGACTATACTCTTCTATCAAGAGTACAGATGAAACAATCCTCATGATCATTGTGTTAAGAATCATAATAATGTAGGGCCCCACTCTACAAGAACTATGGTCCTTTTAGAGTGTAATCATCTCCTCCACATGACATCAGTGAAGTCCTCCAGAGCATGACAGAGGAAGTTATTTGCCATGTAATATGTTGGCTTCTTTAAAAGGGTAAACTTCTTAGAGAACAATGTCATAGTGTTGTTGGTTTTTATATATTTCACAGACAATAAAGGGTATATTAGTAGACTTCCTAAGCACTCAGCAAATACTTTTCAATGACTTTAAAATAAGGATTGCTACCAGTATGGGAGTCATGGTGTGGTGCTGTGGGTTAATACGCTGGACTGTAAAGTCAGTTGGAATGGCGAGGTGGGTGGTTCAAACTCACCAGCTGCTCTTTGGAAACCCTATACCGACAGGGTTACTATGAGTTGGAACCAACTCGAGGGCACTTAACAACAACCAGTGTGGCAAGTAAAACTGAGTCATTTTCACAGCCAGAGTTGTTTTTCAATAGATAAGATGATATTCAGTATTTTAAAATGCAAGAATAGATGATAGCTTGTCCTCAGAGGAGCAGACTGCAAGCTCTTCCTGTCTACATTACAAGCCAGCCTGACTTTTATATACATTTGTGTCACTGTTCAGGAAATTCGTAAGTGGTTCTCAATACCTGTTGTTCATACCTGCTATGCTTATTGGCCTCCAAGTTGATTCTGACTCTTAGTAACCTTGTGTGTTCAAAGTAAAATTGCTCCAGAGGGTTTTTAAGGCTGTGACCTTTCAGAAGCAGCTTGCCAGGCCTCTCTTCCGAGTTGATTCTGAGTGGGTTTGAACCCCCGACCTTTGGGCTAGTCATTTGCTCCACCCATAATACCTGCTGTTAAGTGCTGTCGAGTCGATTCCAACTCATAGTAATCCTCTATAGTGTTTCCAAGGAGCGGCTGGTGGGTTTGAACTGCCGACCTTTAGGTTAGCAGTCTAGTGCTGATCCTACAGTGCAACACCAGGACTGCTCTTAACACCACATAGATACAAATACCAGGGACATCTCAATCTTTAGTACCTGCAGACCTAGATTGCATAGATGGCAAATGGCAGCCTGGAAATATGTCTAATTGCTGGAGAACTTTGTTTAAGTGCAAAGCAAAGAACTGGTGGAACAATTGCCCTCTGTGTCACCCAACCCTTCAAAATCTGACCACAGATGTAGATTGTGACTAATATTTGGCTCTAATATTATAGGTGGTTATTGTGGAGGGAATCAGTAAGAGCCTAATTGTCATTTCCTTGGAAAAAATGTCTCCACAGATGGATTCCAGCACCCTATTGTACCAGTGCCCAAAGCTAATGGGGCTTTTTGCTAAATAAGGACTGATTCAGCCAAAAAGATAGACTCTGACTAGAGAAATCAGGATCATGAGCCACTCCAAAAAGCTTATTTCCCCAAGCATAGGATGCTTTGGAACACTAGAATCTTCTTAATAGGGACACTGTGAAAAGTAATTTATTAATTACATTTTACAATTTTTCCTTTTAAAAATTAAGCCCTGGGCCTGTGCATTTTAAAAAGTCTCATTACTTATAAAATTTAACCATTCCTGATTTTGTGGTTAGCTAAATAATCAAGATAAAAATTCTACCCAGATTGGGAAGCTCCTTGTTATAAAATCATTAACTCCTTTCAAATCTTGGATAGTCAAAAATAAAATAAGCCTTGTTACAGATCCTTCTGTGGAAATGAGAATGATAATAATGGAAAAGACTGGATAAAATGGTAAAGACTGGGATATAGTTATTACTCCTACTCCTATCTAACTACTTTCATACAATCCACTGTAACCTTTGTATTTCATTTAAAGATGTTCCAATCATATATAACAATGTTGTTAGGTAGTGTGCTGGTGGTATGTGCCCTGGAGTTGATCCCGACGACCCTGTACAGGGTTTCTTTCCGAGGCTGTAAATCTTTAGGGTGCAGAAAGCCTCATCTTTTTCCTGTGGAACCGCTAGGAGTTTGGAACTGCTGACCTTGAGGTTAGCAATCTGACTCTTAACTACTACACTATAATCAGCCTGAACTTCAAAGTGAGACAATTTTCATCCAAGTTCCAGAAAGAAAAAAAAAGGGGGGACATTTCTTTGTGTGTGAGGCTGGTTTTCAAAGACAGCTCACTTACCTGAAAATAAAAGCCTTGCTTTTCTTAATTCACAGAGTTTGGGAAATTCTTAGCAGAAAATTCTCACAGAGACCAGCCACTGAATTAAAATGAAGAAGAGGAAATGTATCCATGATTAATTTCCTTTTCCATTTAGGTTTAGTAATGTCTTAAGACCACTTCTATACAATAGGTTTGCTATGAGCCTGACTCGACTTGACTGTAATGAGTTTGGGTTGGATTTGGCCTGTTTGAGAGATGAAATTCATTAGGGACCACATTCTGGAATTGTTTTGAACTGGAGTGAGTGGCTAGCAATCTCTGCCCTTTGTCTATGTCAACGGCTGCTACCTTCAGTGCCTATCAGTTCTGAGCTCCTGTCTGGATTGGGATGTATCCATTTTACAGAGTTAACTCATGCTGATTATAAATAATGCATGACTTGGTAGATGTGAAACTAGACCTCCCCTGCATGAAACATTAGTCAATCCTACGTTCCCAGCTTTAAAAGGTAACGATGAGTTGGTAAGAGGGCTTCGAGCAGGCTGAAGAGCAGCTGATCAGCAGATGGAATGCAGCAACGCAGTGAGCAGCACCGCAGGATGCACGGAAGACACCACATCCTTTACATTTAAGTATTTTGTTCAGCTAGGAAAAGACACACACTTGCTCATTCAGGATTACTTAACACAGAGCTGTAAAACCTAAGTGTATCTCACCAGCACCTCCTAGGGGCAGTGTGAGGATATGAAGCGCAGACTAGCTAAGACCCTCTTTGAATTGTCGGTTTCACCTTCGCCACGCTCAAAACCACCATCTGGCCAGCGCCACCCAGGACAGGAGCCAGTTTGTTGCAGTAGTTTGGAGACTCAAGGAGGCCTTTAGATATTTAAACAAATGACACACAAGAAAGAAACATTTGATCGCTGAGGAAACAAAACACTTAAAGGAAAAAAAAAGGAAAGAACAGATTTCAAACGCACTGAAAGGAAAAGGCTCTTAATTGTGCTTAAATGTCCTTTAAGCGCAAAGCTTTTCCAAGCCCCTAAGTACTCTAAGACACTAGAACTTATTCAATACACACACACACACACACACACACACACACACACACACACACACAGGGACTAAGTGCAGTTTTCCAGGGTCTAGTCCAGTTAATACCGAGGACTACCCAGGGTTTGGGAGTCTCTGAAGGGAAGGCAGAGCTGCTGGTTTGTAGGAGTTGCTTCCCAGAGAATTCATTACTGTCTAGCCACTCTGATTTTAGATCCACAGAGCGTGCCGGGGGTGGTGGAGGAGGAGGAGGAGGGCGGACACGGCGAACCAGCAGTTCACGCTTCAGGCAAACTTAGGCTCCTTGTAAGTAATTCACCAACCGTCTAGAGAGGCAATCATCAAACAGCTGGGCAATTGCCACACTTGGGGCCGTGCGCGTGTCCGTCTTGCTAGGTTCTGCGTGCCCATCTGTCCCCATCCCTTGATCCACTTCACTTGCAGCTCCTCTGAGCACCGTCTCTTCCTCCGGGGGTCTTGGGTGGGGGTGGAGTGGGTTTAGGACTCCGAGAAGGAGGGCGTGGGAGACATGCCCGGACTACCATGCAAGCTTCCCCTGCAGCTTCCCTTCTAAGGCACCTCGCAGGACCCTCGAGGAGCAAGCAGAGCACAGTAGCCTCCTCCGGGGGCAGGAAAAAAAAAAGGGGGAAGCGTGGGGCTGGAAGAGGGGAAGAGGGGGAGAGGGGGAGGAAGTCTTGCCCAAGGCCAGGCTGCAATTAAATCGCCTCAGAAGCCCGGCCACTGGGCTTCCCACCTGCTGCTGTCCCAGCTGGGACGCCACTTCCTCCTGCCCAGCCCAGTCCGGCCCCCAGCCCGGCTCAGGCTCAGCGGCTGGCGGGGGAGGAACGGCAGGCGGCAGGTTCTCAGCGCTTGGCAGCGGCGCCGCCTCGGGTGCAGCATCCTCCCCGCCCCGTCGCGCTTCCCCAGGCTGGCCGCGCTGCAATTGGCCGACCGTGGCTGGGGGCGGAGCCAGGCGGGCCGGTATCTCCTGGACCGCCTCAAAAGAGCCCAGGATACTGCACAGCGCACTGGAGCCGGGACCAGCGCGCAGCCTGCCCTGACGCCGGCCAGCTGGGGCTTGGAAACTCTCGTCCGCTTTGGCTCCCTCGCTTTGACAAACGACTGGATCTTATATGCCTGTGTACCCCCCTATTTCCACTCCATGCCCCCATGCTTCTGTGCCAGCAACAGGTAAGGGCTGCTTGTGTGTTTGCCTTCCTTCTGTCTCACTGCTTGGGTGTCCTGGGGTGTTGGGCAGGAGCGGTTGTCCTTAACCCTCCTCCAGAGGTGCCCAGCTGTCATGTTGCTGGAGTGCTCACTCACGCACGCTCCTGAGTTTCAGATCATGCCTATAGAGTTTGTGTGAGCCCAGGAACATCCTTAGAGCTAAAAATACTGAGACATGCTTGGAACAGTTGAGCAATCGAAGCAGATCTGTCTGCAGCATCTGTTTGTGCTCATAACTTCCAATGCACCAGCTGTAGCGAGATACTGAATTTGGAGGCTGGAACGAGGAGTCTGTGTGTGAGTCTCTCTCGAAGGAAAAAGCCAGGGGCGAGGTCTAAAGCGTTGGTCCCAGTCTTGGCAAGCCTTGAGACTCAACATTATTGTTGATCCTTCGCGTCTGTCTTGTTATTTATTGATTTATTTTTGTCATTGCTTCAAGTGTAAGCTTTGAGTTCCAGAGTGAGAGTCTCGAAGTTGCTTTGTTGGCTATGAGAGTTGGATTTGAGCCTGCAGACTGCAAAACTTTCTCTGCATATGTCGCTCTCGCCTAAGCTAGTTGCTATTCTTCTTGATAATTGTATGAATACTAACTGAAGACAGTGTGGTTTCAGGGAAACACAGTGGTCAGAATGGCTTGATTCTGCAATAATATTGCATGATAACATTAAGTCATCATGAAAGTTGAAAATATATATATGTATTAGAGATAGGAAGTAGCCCGTTTAAAGTCTGTGCTTTGGTGAATCTATGAGTAGCCTGGTAACAGGGTAATCTTGGAGGTTTTCGTGACATCAGAATTGATCTGTGAGGAATTAAGGCAGTCTTTGAAAACCTGTTTTGGATCTGCAAAGAAAGCGAACAGTTTTTACACCTTAACAATTAAAAGGCAGTTTGATTGATTTCCCTTTGCTAATTCCTGTAGCATGTCTTCCATACATTAACTTTTCATTTGTCAGTTTCTCCTTCCTCACTTCCACACCCATCCCAAGGATTTTACTTATATTTTCCATGATCTGGAAAAATCTTGCTGGTCTGACAGAGCAGAAGACATTTTTTTCAAAGATGGTGGGAGAGGTGAGGGTAGGGCCCAAGGTGGGAGAAGTGAGGGTAGGGGTCAAGGTGATTTCACTTTGCTTTCTGCCCCTTCTCTTCCCATGTTGGTTTTATGTTATTACTATCTATAAAGACTGTTTTTATCTAGACTCGTGAGAATTTGACATTTTGGGTTGGAAAAGAGCATGGAGAATTTTTACATCCTTCAAACCATTTTGTTGTCAGTATCTCTGGTCAGTTCTAAAATCCTCCTATGACTTTTGAGGAGCGTGGAAGATTCATTAAAGGTCACTACATCTTTACCTCAACAGATGGACTCATGTTCCAAGGTTGGGCTTGTTTTGTGTGTATTTTTGTTTAGTGAATATGCATATGTGTCAGCATATGCAAATACTGAGGCATGCAGCCTCCATTGTGGGGTATAGATGTTCTAGTGTTCACATGGATAAATGAGTATTCCTCCTTCCGCCCCTCCCTGCCTCTCCCAGCTCCCCCTTCCCACTGTTTACTGATCTTCTAAGAGGTTGCTTTGCGAGCATTTGTGCTCACATGGCAACATGTGCCCAGAGCACACCCGGGCTGGTCTATATGGCGTCAGCTGGGGAATAGCTGCTAGAAACACTCATTAGCCGACCTCTCTCTCAGCCCAGCACACTCTTTTGCTACCTCTGTTCCTATCCTCTGGCAGAAACTTTCTGATTTATTAAGCAACCACACCATAGGATGGGGCATATTTATTTCTTATAATTACATTTTTTTCTAGGTTTTTTTTTAAACCATACAAGAAATCGTTCCTATGTAGTAAAAAGATTTTAGATTTCCCCATTTATTTCATGTGACCTGTGTGACCTTGTGTCTATTCAGAGCTCTCTCTCCTTTACCATGTACCTCAGATACTAGTTTTTCCATGGCTTATGCTTAATTTTGGCTCAGCCTATAAATAGTCTTAACATGAACAGCACACCACATGTAACCTCTCAGTTTCCCAGAAATATTTTCTACATCATTGGTTATGGCCTGGGTAAAATGATTATTTATTTCCATTCAATTTCTATCTGGCCCCTTACATATTTTGGCAGAAAGGGAATTTTTTTTTTTTCTCTTTCTTCTTCTTACCATTCATCAAATCCAATATTGATTTTCCTGAGTTGTATAAATCGAAGCAAATTACTCAGTGTGCTCATCTACTTTTGATTGAATATTTCTTAAGAAATAATTATAATTCAATGTATAAAATAGAGTTCCATGAAAGCTGTATTCCTAATGAAGGTTTTCCAATACAGATGCCCATATATTGGCAATTACTAATGAAAGGATTCGGAAGTTTCTATTTCCCTAAAGGCAGCTGAGTAGGTTCATGGGAAAGCCAGTCATCTTTAATAAAGTATTAAGACAGTGACCCCATCAAACTCGGGCAGTTTCCAGATTTTTGCTATGTAATTAGCTCCACAGGAATTGAATATATGTAGTCTGTGCACACACAGTTTTTGTTTAGGGGTATCTCATTTTCTAAGTAGCAGCATATTTTCATTTAGCCAAGAAACCTTTATTTATTTTTTTTCCTCCTGAGCAGAAATGATAAAATTTGTAACACTTCTTTGCTTCTGGACTGATCTTGTCATTAGCAGCGGAATTCAGGCAATGATAATAGTAGCTCAGTACAGGTTCATTTCAAGGTTCTCAATGTGGAAAGCTGTTCGTAAACCAAAACACACTGCCATCGGCTCATTTTGGCCCTGCAGAACAGAGGAGAACTGCCCCATAGACTTTCCAAGGCTGTAAATGTAAATCTCCACAGAAGTAGACTGACTTCTCTTTCTGCCCATAGCGGAAGCTGATCGGGTGTGATTTCTGGAATCCAAACACATGTCCAAGGGTCAAGATTTTTGGAGTCTTTAGATTCCATGTGGTTCTGAGATTGTAATCTTTCAACATTAATCCATCTGTTCAGGTACAGATGGAGTGGCCTTTAATCAGTGTTTGTTTACGCTCCTCAAACATCATACTTTAGTCTGGAGAGAAGACAGAAATAAATCAGGAAACATTTGTGACTATCTACTCCTGGTAACTCACAGAGAAGATTTCTGTTGAATTATAAGAGACTTCCTTGATATCAACTTATAATAAAAGTTGGGACTCCAGAGCTTCCTTTTTTGTTTGAAAGTACACCTGCATTTGGTATCTGCATCTCTCTGTGTTGAAAAACGTGGTCATTTCATCTGAGCCGGAGTCAACTGAAATCCCTGTTAAAAGAAATGCCTACCAAGTATAGGATCTAGAGCCCTGAGGAAGAAGAGTCTTGCTCCTTTTGTCCAAGTGAAAGAAGGGAAGCAGACAAAACATTGAAGCAGGTGGAAGGTTAGAAAGACGTAGTCACTTCTTGTTATAAACTAATTCAAAGGCACTTTCAAATCGGGCATCATTTAGGTGTCAAAAGCTGCCAAAATGTAACACACATTGCAATTTTCACAGATGACTAATCTCAGGAAAAATGTGTTGAGGCACATTCTTGCATAATAACTTGGATGCAGAGAGAGAAGTCAAAAGACTGTACAAGACATTTTTTAGGGTATTGCACCTTGTTTCTCTCTGAGGGACTATCCAAAAACTAGATAAAAGGTTTTCATTGTTGATTCGTGGCTGGCCTACAGAAATCCATTCTATTAACTGCTTAATCTTCATGTGATGGGGGAGAAAAGAGAGCTGAGATCTCATTATCAGGGATTCCAGCACAGTCTTGACCCTGTGCGCTTGTTCTTCATTATCCCCCTGAACAACAGGCGATGGCTAAGGTTCTTGGAAAAGTGCATATTCTCTTTTGCTGATGGGCGTTTTGTTGTAATAATTTTGTTCATTGAACCGTGGTAAAGACACAGGCTTTTGTTAGCTAGTCAGATGAAAAGCAGTTCCTTCGTAGCGAAGATGGAAATGGAAAGCCAATCGTTTTTACCTAATGGAGACTCTCAGACAAGAGGAGAAAACGGAACACTACTATTTGTTCATGTTCAGGAAAAGTGAGTGTCTTCTGTATAGAAACAGACTGCAGATAACAGCACTCGCAGTAAAAGTCAGTGGTCTGACATGCATCGTCTACTCTTAAAAAGTTTGCTGTCTTTGAAAGCACACTGAATTGGAACCTACCAGATGAGTTCCTGCTTTATCTCAATTCACTAAAGACTTGGTCCTTTAGCACCAAGGTGCTTCTACCCAGCAGTCCCATCCCTGGAGAATGTCAGGACTCTTATCACTAGGCAACAGAATTGCTCTCTATCCCCTGGAGCAAACCTTGCCTTCAAGACAGTGTTACTAGCACTAACAGAGATGCTATCAGGATTTCTGCATACTGGTTTCCTGGAGGATGCCAAGCCAAGAGATGGAGTCTGCCTCAACATTATCCAGAAATTGGGATCCAGTTCCAGTGATGAGTAGGGCTGTCTGCTCGGTTTGATCATTTAAACAAAATAGTTGGCAGCATCTGATGACAAGGGTTCTAATAGTCCTTGCAGAAAACTCAGTGAGTATGCATATGCTGCATTCCTGTGAAGAGCTCTCTTAGTCTTTCCTAAGTCTTAATGCTTCTTGACACATTTAAGAATCAGAAAGGCATTCTCTGGCTTAACAGCTTGGGAAGGCAAAAGAAAAGCTTAGGAGGGAAGGGGAATCCACCTGCAAAATACAACATCCCCAATCCAAGAGTATTCCAAAAAATAAGATCGAATGAGCATGAAATTTTGGTTGAAAGACTGCCACGTGCACAAAAAAATGCAAACCAAACTGACCTATGTTTTACGACTGTATACAAATAAAGTGAAACAAAGTTCAGGGTCCAAAGTGGGGGCGGAGGAATTTATAATCCAATGTAGAGTCGATCTCTCTATATCTGACACCTTGTCTTATTAGGAAGTATTGTTTAGACAGTAGAACCCTTAATAATGGCTTATTTTATGATGAACCCTCTCTCTATTTTTCTTGCAGGACACGTTCTCTGGGTGTCAGCTGAGTTATTAAGATAACTCTGCACGTCAGTAGATAGTCCTTGGTAGACTTCCAAGGTTCCTGGAGACTTCCATCTCACCTCTTTTTTTTTTTTTTTTTTGGTGTGTGTCCTCACTGAACATTCAAAACTGTTTCTCCAAAGGGTTTTGCAAAAACTCAGACTGTTTTCCAAAGCAGAAGCACTGGAGTCCACCACAGAAGCGATGGGCAGTGTGCGAACCAACCGCTATAGCATTGTCTCTTCAGAAGAAGACGGCATGAAGTTGGCCACCATGGCAGTTGCCAATGGCTTTGGGAATGGAAAGAGTAAAGTCCACACTCGACAGCAGTGTAGGAGCCGCTTTGTGAAGAAGGATGGCCACTGCAACGTCCAGTTCATCAACGTCGGGGAGAAGGGACAACGGTACTTGGCTGACATCTTTACCACGTGCGTGGACATCCGCTGGCGGTGGATGCTGGTTATCTTCTGCCTGGCTTTCGTTCTCTCGTGGCTGTTTTTTGGCTGTGTGTTTTGGTTGATAGCTTTGCTTCATGGGGATCTGGATGCCACTAAGGAGAGCAAAGCTTGTGTGTCTGAGGTCAACAGTTTCACGGCTGCCTTCCTCTTTTCCATCGAGACCCAGACAACCATAGGCTACGGCTTCAGATGTGTCACTGACGAATGCCCCATTGCCGTTTTCATGGTGGTGTTCCAGTCAATTGTGGGCTGTATCATCGATGCCTTCATCATTGGCGCCGTCATGGCGAAGATGGCAAAGCCGAAGAAGAGAAACGAGACTCTTGTCTTCAGTCACAATGCTGTGATTGCCATGAGAGATGGCAAGCTGTGCTTGATGTGGCGCGTGGGCAATCTTCGGAAGAGCCACTTGGTAGAAGCTCACGTTCGAGCGCAGCTCCTTAAATCTAGAATTACTTCGGAAGGGGAGTACATCCCCCTGGATCAAATTGACATCAACGTCGGGTTTGACAGTGGAATTGATCGTATATTTCTTGTGTCCCCGATTACAATCGTCCATGAAATAGATGAAGACAGCCCTTTATATGATTTGAGTAAACAAGACATTGACAATGCAGACTTTGAAATTGTTGTGATACTTGAAGGCATGGTGGAAGCCACTGCCATGACAACGCAGTGTCGTAGCTCTTACCTGGCAAATGAAATCCTTTGGGGACACCGCTACGAGCCTGTGCTCTTTGAGGAAAAGCATTACTTCAAAGTAGACTATTCAAGGTTCCACAAAACTTATGAAGTCCCCAACACTCCCCTTTGTAGTGCCAGAGACTTAGCAGAAAAGAAATATATCCTCTCAAATGCAAATTCATTTTGCTATGAAAATGAAGTTGCCCTCACGAGCAAAGAGGAAGACGATAGTGACAACGGACTTCCAGAAAGTACTAGTACAGATACCCCCCCTGACCTAGACCTTCACAACCAGGCAAGTGTACCTCTAGAACCCAGGCCCTTACGACGTGAATCAGAAATATGACTGTACTGACTCTTTCTCTGGAATATTTACTTTAAAACACCGTCAGTTGGTCAAAGGCCCAAAGCAGTTATACAGACGACGGTACTGGTGAAAAGGTGGGTCAAAGCGAGCGGCCACAGTGACTGAGACGAACACGAAACACCAAGGTGTCGAAGAAAGACTGTGAGCTCGAAGAGTCACGTAAAGCACTAAACATGTCTCTGCATGACTTGATGGCACATATATGTTGTAGGATAAGTGATGGGTTTTCATGTTTTGTTTTGTGTTTTGACAAAACTTGAACTTGCAGGCAAGCGGACAAGCCTTGGTTGGGTATTTAACATATCCAGCACGCTTCTCTTTAGGGAACAAGAATGTTTTTAATGGCATAACAAAGGCCTTAATTTTTGAAAAGCTGCTAACTACATGAGCACAAATTGTATTTTTGTGGCAGTGTAGTTTTTCTTTTGTGTAATTTAAAAGTCAGTGTTGAGCTTTGCTCAAAGCTCTTGATGCGCTTCGAAGTGGCAAGTATTTGGCTATTAGCTGCCAAAACAATAGCCTGATTTTTTGAGGCCAGTAATTTGTTTGCTAGAATTGATTTCTCTCTCTCTTTCTCTCTCTCTCTCTCTTCTGTGTGTGTGTCTTTGGTTACATCGGGCGTTATGTAACACTAGCCAAATGGTAGCCTCCACGTTTTTATTTTTTTTTTGTCTTCTCCCCTCCATAACGTTAATGGGTTATCTCAAATTTTAAGTTACACTATAGACTACCTAAAATGAATACCAAAGATAATGCACAATTTTGCACAGTGGAGCTTGTACTAAAAAGGAAACAAAGCCCCCACGGGCTGCCTTGGGATCAAGAGACAATAACAGTGAACCTCAGTAAGAACTTGCACCTTAGTCAGAACATAGAGCATTGCACACAAATAAACAAGTCTTATAATAAGTGCAGTTGTTTCTAATGTATTTTCTTTCATGGGACTTTCTTATTATTGAAAGAGGAAGAGGAAAAGGGAAGTAAAATTTGCACATGCGTGCTGACACACATACACACCACACGTACAATATAAGCATCTTTTCTTCCCTGCTAGCTAATGCTGGCCAAGCTAAAAAAACAAACAAACAAATCAAGTGATGGTGATGTGCTAATTAGGTATCCCCATTTTGCACATCACATAGAATTTATTGTACCAGATAAGACCCTGGTAAAACTGAGCTGAAGTTTTCAGAACTGAACCATCCAGCATGAAAGATGTTAAGTGTCGTCAAGTCGGTTCCGACCCATAGCAACCCTGTATAGGGTTTCTGAGGAGCTGCTGGTGAGCTTGAACCACTGACCTTGCAGTTCAAACAGCTTTGCAGTCTGGCGCATTAACCCACAGCAAAGTCTGAATGTGTTATTTTGATGGTCCGGTCATTTCCAACTTGACTTTGCCTTAAAAAAGATGCTGTTTCTTTTGATTAGTCTGAAAAGATGTGGAATATGCCCCCTTGTATCAGAGAGGGCTGGTAATGCCAAAGAGGGGAAGTAGGGAGGTGTGGACAAGCCACTTTGATGCCACTTGTCAGTTCAAGTATTCAAGAGGGAGAGGGAAAATTGCTTTTTGTGTGGCAGAGAATAAAAATGAAAATGTGTCAGTATTTTCGGGTCAGAGAAAGCCATATACAGCTAAGACAGTCACAAATCAAGGTGGTATTGCCCTCAAAGTTCTGTGGCTCTGGTTACATATGCAAATTCATGATTGAAGGCAAGCACAGTACTGACTGGTGTCTCCTGTGGAGTCCCACAGCAGATTACTAGGACCTACTGTTTTCCAGAAGCTTCTCTTGGCTGCCTGCCTTGCTTGATTTTTTTTTTTCCCACTCTAACTCAATAGTGCAACTTTTTTGGGGTGGTGGTGGTGGTGGTTAAAAGTTCCCTATTTGTGAATTCTGGGGTTACTGACTTTTCTTTTTAATTGGGAATCTCAAAATCAACTCTCTTACGGTATTATATCCCTATATGCCATTAAAACACAGCTTGTTCTAGAATCATGTGTTTTGTAAACGGATGTTTATGATGGTTTCTGGTTCTTGAGCAGCCATCTCTGAACGAGGTGCCTACAAGTTAAAGGACAATGGATACTGTTTTCAGCATTCAAAGTCGATGGGTTTGAAGCTGGGATGTTATTTTAATGAAACCGAAATACAGGGGTCCTGTGGATGCTGTTTGAAATCCAAGTTGAAGGGCAGGCTTTGGAAGTTGTTTAAAGAGTTGAAGGATTTGGGGATCAAGTGGACAAGAGAAAATTAGAGAAGAGACAATAATTTGGCTGATGCCAGCAAAATAATATTGCGGACTTCAGCAGCTGCTATTATGATGTTTTGCAAAGGAAAATTATCAAACCAAAGAGTATTCCTTATATGAAGATACAGTGGAGAATGGGGGGTGACCATAAAGGTGGTTCCCCCAAACACACAGTGCTGCCACATAAAACAAAGACTGGACATGGGAAAAGGGTGGTTACAGGGCTGACAAGGAGGGAGGAAACAGCTTACTTCTAAAAACGAGAGAGAAAAAAAAAATAATCTAAAATTTCTGGTGCACAGGTTTGTTTTGTTTTGTTTTGTTTTTTCAAGAAAATTTTGCAGAAGCTATGTTTTTAAAGTGTACATTTTATAAAGTTTATCAGATATTTTCATATTTAAAGCCAAATGTAAATAGAAATCTGTAAGGGAAAAAATGCCATAGAAAGTGTAATTTCAGTACAGCAATGTCTGAGAGCTATTACCTATGTGCTACTGGTTAGCATGGTTTTAGCAGATATTTACCACCCTTGTAAGATCCGTATTGCTATGTTCTTCTGTTATTTATTTCAGCATGGACTGTTCATTTGAAAGCTATTCTCTAGTTATTAGCAATCTAACAGTTACAAGCTTTAAATGGCAAGTTGTTCTTTTTTATCAAGAGCCAAGACACAGGTAATGCACAATCACTTATTGCTGCATTTTACCTTCAAAACATTTGTCCTTAATGACTGGGTCTCTTTAGTGCCCACATGTCGTCAGAATGCAGATGGGAGGGACTCACCATGAACATCTGGGGTCTATTCCCAAATGTGTGTTGCTATACTATTGCAAGCAAATCCCAGTTGAATTTACTTAGGAGTTATTCCATTTTAAAGCATTTTGCCCAGATGTGGATGGGCATTCTATTTTTTGGGGGTAGGTGGGGTGGGGAGGAAGGGCATAGAATCCTTGTTATCCTATTTTTAAATAAAAGTAGAGAAAGTGAATTCTATTTTGATTATCGAGAAAGGAATAGTTTTCTATCCCTCTAAGTGTATACTTGAATCAGACATTTTCAGAATGTCTTCGTAGCACTGTAGTCATTTCTAAATTCCTGGAAAAAAAAGTTGGTTTTGCTTTAATTTAATTTAATTTTTATTTCTGTTAATGCATTCTTTCCTCCCTCAACTTCTTTCCTCCCTAGACACTCCTATCCCCAAACCGTGATGTTGCTTTGATAACGTCTGCTTCCTCCAATCATGTTATCAGTTCATATTTTATAATAAACCACTCAGTAAAGGCAAAACGCTTGTTGTGAAAAGTAGCCTAAGTTGTTTTTCACTCTTGTGTTTAATAACGTTAAAGTGAAAAAAAGAGAGAAAAAAGTGTTGTATTGTTGCCTCTCCACCCCACCTCTCAGCCAACTATAATCTCTTTTCTTGTAATGTTGACTTTCAGCTCTGGGATCTGGTGAGTTGAACAATTTCTGGCCTCTGACAATCGTTGATAGTTATTACCCGCCCCCTCTTTTTGTATCTAATGTCTTTCTATTGTACTGCACACAAACCATGGATTGTACATATTTTTATATATTATGTCTTATTTTATTATTTCTAAATAAAAAGTGAAAAATGGAAAACAAATTGGTGCAAGGATTTTGTGACTTCCTGTCTGATGACAGCAGAATAGCTCAGACTTTATAAAACCAATGCTCCAGGAACAAAGGGACAGAAACCGGGGGCGGGTTGGATGAATGGAGCTATAGAAATGGAGTAACCAGGCAGGTACCATCGGCTGGCAGATTAGATTAATCCCAGTTAGAGGAAGTCAGACTCATATTTTGTTTGGGGACCAAACGGCCAAAGTAAAGAATACTAAAAAGTCTAGCAAGCAAATAAAAGTAACAAGGGTAACATTCATTCCACTTTTGAGTCTCTCTCTAATGATAATTGAGTCCTGGCGTGGTGCTGTATCTTAAACTCTGAACCACGAACCACAAGGTTGGTGGTTCAAGCCTTACCAGCAGCTTCTCAGAAACCCTACATAGGGTCGCTATGAGTCGGAACTGACTCGATGACACTCAACAACCACAGCTACTGACAATATTCAAACCAAAGCCAAAACACACGGATGGATGTCAAGTTAATTCTGACTCATGGCCACCCCCCATGTGTGGCAGAGTAGCAGAGCGCTCAGTGATGTGTTTAGTGACTGATCTTTTAAAAGTAGAATACCAGGCCTTTCTTCTGAGGTGCCGCTGAGTGGATTTGAGCCCCCAATTCTTACTGCTCATAGCCAAGAGGTTTGCGTCCTGGCATGGCACTGTAAGGTCAGTTTGTAAGGTCCTCTATACGGGGTCACTATGAATTGGAACTGATTCAGTAGCACTTAACAACAGCCAAGAACTTAACGGTTTTGGGTGTTTTGTTTTGTTTGTTGCCCAGGGACTCCAAATGATAATAAATGTTACTTTTAATTGAACTTCTCCCACATGTGTGGGTTCTCATTTGAGCTTCACAAAATTCTCATACATCAGGGGCCAACAAATACTTTCTGTAAAAGACCGATAGTATTTGGGGCTGTGAGGAGCAAAATGTTCTCTGTCACAACTACTCTCTGTGGTTGTGTTCTAATAAAACTTTATTTACAACTATGCAGGTTGTTATAAAAAAAAAAGTTTCAATTTGACATGCTGTCTACACTTTGCCGATCCTTGTTTGAGATGAAGAAAGTGAAGCTGGATTGTAAAGCTAATGAATCACTGAGGTAGTATTTATATTTTGGTTTTTTATCTACTTCTAAAACCCAGTTCTATCTTTTTTTTTAAGGCACAAAGGCCCAGAGGAAATGCCACACTTCCTCTAGCTAA